GTGGGAAAGATCGCATCACTGCTGCCAGTACTGAAAATCTACAATATACGTAGGGTAAACTGCAGATTTTCAGTACTAGCAGTGAATTTCGGAACGCAGCCTATAGTATTACGTCACATATACTATAGATTGAAGCGTATTGGAGCATGTTGAGGCATGTGACACGAACAAACCTTATGTATAGAGAGTATTAAGGTATATTCAGAAACTTGAATAACTAATTTTATAACTTTTGACACCCAGGGATGCCTACAAGATATAGGGATAATATAGGGAACCAATAACAAATGACGCGTAAATGTAAACGCGGCTGAAGAAGTTGCATTGAAGGCGCGTATCGGAACCGATCGGAGTTGATCGGCTTTCACCGTCCAACACCCGTCGGCGAAGCTTCGGTAACACGAGCACGAATGCGACGCTAGCGAGCGGTACCGCGATCCCCGTCTCTATCCCGCGCCTTGTCTCACCTGACACAATGAAAGTACGCAACGCAGGGTGAGAGGGGAGGACACGGTGTTCGCGAAAAAGAGAAGGAGAAAGAAAGAACAAGGGAAGGTGGGAGAGAAATCGTCCGTCTCTGCGAGTCGTCATGGCTGAATCATTGTGAGCGATCTTCGCATAGGAAACCGATAACAAATGACGCCGCGTGTGTGATTCACTAGGTAGAAAAAAAGAGTGTCCGTTTCTCGCGCGGCACAGTGGTGTGGCTCGACACCCGGATCCCCTCGTTCGATTCGACTCAGTGTGCGAGGTCCGATCGCCGGACACCTCGATGCCGAGGCTTCACGAAGAGGAGACGTGATACAAAGACGGTGGTTTTGTGCGTGCGTGGTGCAAGACTGTCATTACGTCCGGTTGTGCTACACCATGAACGGGTTAAGTCTGAGTGAACTGTGTTGCCTGTTCTGCTGTCCGCCCTGCCCGTCCAGAATCGCCGACAAGCTGGCCTTCCTGCCGCCCGAGCCCACGTACTCGTTCGTCGAGGACGAGGGCTCCAAGTTCACCATCTCCCTGTCGGAGCGCGCCGAGTGGCAGTACTCCGAGCGTGAGAAGGAAGCTGTGGAGGGCTTCTACGCAAGGACGTCGCGCGGCAATCGCATAGCATGCCTGTTCGTGCGGTGCTCGGCGACCGCGCGCTTCACCATCCTCTTCTCCCACGGCAATGCTGTCGACCTCGGCCAGATGTCGAGCTTCTACTTGGGGCTGGGCTCCCGCATAAACTGCAACATCTTCAGCTACGACTACTCGGGCTACGGGGTGTCAGGCGGCAAGGCGTCCGAGAAGAATCTCTACGCGGACATCGATGCCGCGTGGCACGCGCTGCGTACGCGTTATGGTATCAGCCCCGAGAACATAATACTCTACGGACAGAGCATCGGCACGGTGCCCACTGTCGATCTCGCTGCGAGATACGAGGTCGGCGCGGTCGTGCTGCATTCGCCGCTTATGTCCGGTATGCGAGTCGCGTTTCCGAAAACCAAAAGGACTTGGTTCTTCGACGCTTTCACCAGGTAAGAATCTCCCGGACGAACGGTAATTCTTTGACAATTGGCAGTATATCGGTTACAAGTTAATATTAAAGACACGGGAATACAGCGAAATGAGAAATAAGCCTATCGTCGAAATCTCTTACGCCATGCACGTGACATGAACTGTCGCTTGACTTTTTATTGACCAAATTATTTTTTAAGAAAACAATTGAGATAAAAATTAGTTGAGCAAAATAAGTCAATCGGTATTTTAAGTATCGGTAGTTAAATAATTAATCGGTATTTTAAAAATGCACAAAACATCTAGAAGAGGGTTTCCATATTTTAGCTTCAAGGTTATAATGATTGACAAGCACACAAAGCAGAATATAAGAAAACGAAACAACAATAAAATCGATATGTACTTGCAAGTTATATTAGGCAGCAGAGGCTCGATATTAGATTGATTGAAACACTTTCTCTTTTATATTCATTATTTTAAATAAAAACTATGGTTTTTAATTTTTTGAACAAAAAAAAATTACAAAAATTTCTTTCTCTAAATGAAAGAAGTACTAATTAAAACTGAAAATGATCATTCTGAATAATAAAAGTTGCTCCACATTATAAATTTTATTTAAAAAATTTTTTTACACAATTAAATGTAACAAACTTTTATTAAATATTGCAATGCCTAATACTACATACATACACGCATAAAATTACCTTCGAGAATTGTTTTAAAATAAGCATAGGTTCATTTTAGATAAATAAACTCAAGCGGTTTATTTTTGCTCATTTTAGCCTTAAAATTGTATTATATTTTTCGTATTTTTTCTCTTTTTTTAAATTTGTTTAGTATGATGTTTAGTATGATAATAAACTGTCAATTTGAAATAAATTGAAGAAATTTGCCGATCGATAAGCGGATTTTATCTTGAAATAATGTTTTTTAGTATAACTCATAAATTTGGCAACCTCGGATGATAAATTTTCCGCTCATTGATTAATTACAAATAAGATTGCTAATATCTCGTTAAGCTACACAACTTTATGGTCAATATATATATCAAGTAAATATATAACTACGTCACGTGGATATACGTGATGAAATCTATGTGTAGCACGATTTGCGTCGTAATGTGTCTCGCTAATAGGTTTCGTGTGGATTTTACGATATTTATCGACGCGCGGCAATAAATTTACGTTGTTGACGTAGAACGTAGAGAAAAACGGATTACCAATAATGTTACATATGCTGTCAATAGCCTTACATTTCGCTTGCAACTGCAATCTTTAAACTTTAGACAGAGTACATGTATATCTATTGTTTACAATACAACGTACGAAAAAGAGTACACCAATTATGAGTGTTTTATTTTTTATGTTATTTTGTATTAATTTTTAAAAATTACGTTATGGATATATTCTATTTTTAAATGATTAAATTTTTATGTTTATTTATAAAAGTTAAATTTAATTTTTCTGCACTTATATTTAAAATAGATTGATCAAAGGAGTAAATCGACTTTGGTTAATTTAGATATAGATAATATATATAAAAGTAATATAAATATAAATAATAAGAAACAACAATGCAACATAATTTTATTATAAATTATTTAATCAATAAGTACATTAATGAGTACATAAAATTTGTCAATATTGAGTTCTTGTTAGTATAATTGTAAATGATTCAGATTTTCAAACTTTGTAGTATAAAGTGCGAAAAGGAAATTAATTTCTACAAAAAGAAAGCGAATTTGATACGAAAAGAATATAATTTAAATTTCAATATCATTGCTTTATTGGTTCTACACTAGACTCTATTGGAAATGCTTTCTAATATCACTCATAATCGTGTAAATAAGACCTGTCACCTGTATACGTGTGATACGGCCTCCGGTGGAATGCACGTGTTACCTATATACGGGTGACATGGTAATCAACGTGTCTATAAATAACTTTCAAACAAAACCTTCATTTTATATTTTCCCTCTTTTTTCACTTGTATTTCACCCCATGTTGAATATGTACTTTAATTCAACATTAATCTACAATTGTGTACATATTTTACATTTAAATTTATAATAGCGCTAACTCCTACACATTATTTGCATGGATTATCAACATTACATTACACATGCTACCAATAGTCTGAGAATTGCAATTGCAATTTCTAAAAAAATTAGCATCTATCTATTATTTGCAACATAATTTATTTTTGAATAAAATTACTTTTATTTATAAATGTGATTTATTTTTAAAGAATGTTTTATATGTAAAGGCTATTATATTGATCATAAATTTTAATTCTTTAATTAAAATATTGTTGATGTTTGATAAACTTATAAATAAAAATTTCTAAGAATATAAATGCTATTGATAAGAAAAATGAAATTTCTTTAATATAAAATAACATTATATATAATTATTAAAAACAATGTTTAAATTTTATTATCTTTTTGCAGCATAGATAAAGTGCCGAAGGTGACATCCCCTGTTCTGGTTATTCACGGTACCGAAGATGAAGTTATAAATTTTAGTCACGGTCTAGCGATTTACGAAAGATGTCCACGAGCAGTAGAACCACTATGGGTTGAGGTATCAGAAATCGATAATACATTTTTATTAAAAACAATTGTTTAATATTTTCTTTAGCTTTTTTTTGTTTATGTTGGCTATTATATTGTTGTGCACTTTTATCTCATATAAATTGCACAAAGCGAGATATGTAAATATGGAATTTTTCAGGGTGCCGGCCATAATGATGTAGAGTTGTTCAATCAGTATCTCGAACGATTGAAACAATTTGTAAACGTGGAATTGGTAAACTGACGGCGACTCAGCCTCTCCCAGAGTCAGGGGGGGCAAGGAGGGGGCCATACGCATGCGAGCAGCCAAGGACGTACCATTTCCAACAACTCCAACACCATTAGCTCCATTTCGACGAGTTCTCCTACGGAGAAGCTTGTCTAGCAGTCGCCTCCCACAGGGGAGAAGACGCCTGTCCTTCCCTGTGACGAAGAATCATCCTTCGCCTCTGTAGATGATGTTTTCTTCTTTTGCGAGCAACAACAGACTGTAAACCAGGAAACTTATCGCTCAGAGTCATTTAAGAAAACATGTTCCAAAGACGAGAATCCAAATGCCGAAGGTAATTCGAAAAAATCTAGTGCGAGATCAGAGAGTAAGAATTCTAAGCAGAAAGATTCCTCTATCTACACAAAGGACAAAGGTCACAGCAGAGTCGCCGCCGCCGAAAAAGTGACCGATCACGAGTTTCTAGCGAATCATGCTGGAAAGGTTGTCAAGAAGCATGCTTACTTACCGAAAAATTTGAAAAATCCTTTTGCTCAAAGCCAGAAAAATATTGTTCACAGAAGTTTGAAGAATTCGTTTGGTCAGAATAACAAAAAAACAGACGTCGCATGCCAAAGAAATCATAGGCATTTTATATGCCGAAAATGCGCGATCGGGGAAAAATCGGTCGCATCGTTTTCTAACGCTTCCGGTGATATTAAAAAGGATGTTACTGATTGTAGAGGTACTCTTACTCAGCCTATATCGGAGAAAAAGTCTCCGGGATTTCAATTCAAGTACAATTGCATAGAGTCGATATTGGACTCGAATAGCACTAACAAAGACAGCGGCCAACGTTATTACGATAAAATCTCAATCGTGGACAACATTATGAAATTCAAAAAATCCGACACAGCACACACAAAGACTACAGAATCAACAAAGAAGTTTCCCTGGAGTACCAAGATGTGTACGTGCACGAAGATAAGGAAAAAGAGTCTCGATAAATGCAAGGAACAGGAGAAGAGTGATTCTACCGAGAGCTTTGATTCCTACAATGACGCCAAACAGTTGAAAAAGAAGAAACCTGCTTGTAGCCCGTTGAAAAAGTCCGGCCGATCATCTCTGACAGTGAACTCGGACAAAATCACTATTAACTTGCCAAAGTATTCTCCCTGCGCGAGCCGATTAGCCGCGAGCTCAAAAATTTTGTCATCCGATATGGTGGCAGATCCAGATAGTCCGCTTCATGTTCCACGCTCAAGAAGCCCGTCTCACGTCGATGTACAAACCGAGAACAATCCTGCGAAGCTTTCGGAAAGAACATCGTCGATGCAAGCCAGTTTATCTCTGAACATACAACAGTTCCAGAAGACCCGTTACACTCCGCGTAGCAGAAGCGTAGGTGACAGCTGTGTAACATCGCCGACAAGTGAAGCAACTACAGTGAGCTATTCGCCCACCGGCACAGAAATATTATCTCTGGAAGAGGTTGGGCCACACACATCGCATACAACATCGGCCGAAGGTTCGGGCAGCAGCTATTCGGAGGTCAAGGAGAAACTAGACGCTGAGTGTTCCGACAAAGTCAAGAGAGCGACTTTGGAAACAAAGTGTTAATGAAACTCGCGCACTTTTGATGCCACGCCGTGTTTCGCCATTCTCTCTTCCACGTATATACGTATTTTACAAAAGAAAATCACGGTTCCATACGCGCGTTATAACCCGTTTGAACTGTCGTGTTAGTGAGAAACTGTACACAAAGGCGAATATATATATATACATATATATATATAACAAGTTTATAAGATTTACTATATTTCTAGAAATGCGAGAGTATATACATACTGTGCATATTGAATATTCTTATCTGCGTATACACATTCAAACACACGCGTATTTGCGTACACGCATGGATATTAAAAGCCGTTTTTTGCAGAATAGGCTACAGAACGTTGTTGCGACAAAACGTCGAGTATTATTATTATTTTTATTATCCTTCTTAAAGTTATAGGATATCTGATGGTTCATGTGTGCCGAAACATTTCTTTATTTCGGAAAGTATGAGGAGTGTTGCTGGCATGTAGCGCGAAAAGATATCTCGCTGAATATCCGCATTTTCTTAATTTAATTTAATTTACGACTAGTATTATTACATTTTTTTTTTATTTAGCTGAAGCACCTTTTGAAGACTTTAATGTTGAATTTATCAATTTATCATGATTGTTAAATGCATTTTTATACTTTTTTTATTTCTTTATTTGTTTAGGTTTAATTAAGGCAAGTAGAATCTTTGTACTATGTAGAAACGCATTTTATTGTTTTGGTATGTGAAAGATCTGTTTTAGCGAGAAAATGTGGATTTTTTCAAATTGCATGTTTTGCGAGTTGTTGGTAATTCCCATGATGATAAATGATGGTTGTAAAAGTGATGAGGGCATTTGTTCTTATATCCATGGTGAAGATTCGTGAGGAGAATTGGAAATCTTCCAAGGTAGAGATATGAACACATGGTGGCACGGCTGGAATTAGCAAACCGGGATAAGAAATCATACGAGCATGCAGTGTGTCCCGCAAAAATGTTTTTGCCGATATAGCTGGACAGGACAAAAATCTTGTAAGCAACAATAAGAATGCAAATAGCTAGGGACAATATTACTGCCAAACTTGACTATGAATTAATTAATTTCTAAGGAAGTGATGCGCGCGCGTGCGAAGGACCTCGTCTATATAGGTACGTTTCTCGTTAGTATTTTTATATCTCGATAATGTAAATACAGAGTACAGTTAAACAACTTTTTCTTTATTAATGTATGCGACAGTATGAGGCGGTTGCGTGGAATGCCAATGCGGAAATACCGCGAAATGTACCCTCTTGCGTAAAGCAATTTTGCTACTTCTATGATAGAATTGTTGATACTTTTTACTGGTCAAAATTGTTTATCGGCTATCGCGACGTCAATGTTAACGAAGAAAATTTTAAGACGAGTTGAAATATCGATTTTATGTATCGAGATAAGGAGTGATACATCGAGTGTAAGTCGACTTTTACCTTACTTCAGGTTATTGTATCACAAGATGTCCTCGCAATTTGTTGGTAATGTTACAATCGGAAAATAACGACATGTGACAAATGTATGAGCAAGAGAAAGAGATAATGCAAATTAGTTACAAGCAAGATTTTACTATGCTTTGCACGGCATTTTTACAAAAAAAAAAGCTTTGTTTAATCTGCACGGCGTGATTCACAAAAGTGTTTACAGTGGATCTGATGATGAGGACACTCAAGTAAGAGTAGGTCTAATTTTTCAAATGTTCCAAGTATCACAAGCAAATGTAGTAAACGATAAAAGCTAAGCGTCATGAACACATTTCACGAAAAAGCATTTCAAATTAATTTCTTTAGTGAACTTAGAGTTGACTTTTTTTTAGCGAAAATGATATTAGCATTTGAATTGCATGTTGTGTGTTCAATACTAATTCTGTTTCGCAGTGATATAATGGACTATACCTTCCATAAATTGGGAAGAATTGAGGCAACAGTCGTAAAAAATTAATGGGATGCTGCTGAGGAATTAAGAAGTTTGTTGATCTTAGTGACATTGGAGAGATTTTTGAAAACTTTTTTTCGAAACTTTCAGTAAACAGTATAGTAAAATTTTCTTTATTTAATTTTAAGTAAACTTTGTTTTGAGAAATTTGTAATTTGAAGATTATTTACACAGATATTTAAGTAGAAAGAAATAACTTGTGACAATGATAATCTCCCTTTACATTTCCTTTGCTTCACTTCAAATTGCTCAAAAACTTAAAGGTAGCTTGCTCGGTCTGGGATGTTCTGAATGTTCTATTTTTTGTGCATTATTTTTCTAATAACAAATTCTGTGACCAATTTGAAGTTGATTTTTTTTACCGAAAATGTCGAGGGAAATTAACGACTTCTCAAATTTTTACCATAATATATCTTTACCATATTAAGCCTTAAATTAAAATTTTATTTAAGTAAATTTCATCTGAAATTGGTTGGACAATGCAATTTTGTGTGTGTTATACATTTAACTTTATAAAGTTTACTTCAAGAGAAACTTTTTCTGTTCGAATATTTATAACTCAAGAATAACAGTGTATCAACATTTTTGTCAACTTATTCAATGTCAAGAATACTTGATTAAACTAATTAGAAGAAAAATTTGAAGAAGAAAGTCTTAAAGCAATAAATGGATTAAAAAAAATCAACTCCAAATTGACTAAAGAATCTATCATAAAAGTGAAGTATCAGAAGTGGGATACCTTATACAAATTTAAGATTTATGCACATGATGCTTATACGTGCATATATATAAAGATATAGATAAAATATTTTTATTTCATTCTATATACATATAGTGTATTTCTCTGGAAAATGTGGTGCCATATATGATAAAAATTATATTACTATTGAGTATTTTTTTCACATACATATATGGTATTTTGTAATCATTTAAAATATTTAACTTCTCTAAAATTTTGATAGAAATATGTTGCGCTTTATGTGCACTCATTACGTTAATCAAATACTCTTTCGAGTGTCTCCAAATTTCATTTTTGAAATGAATAATGTTTCTTATTTGTTATTTCGTATTAAATGTAGCCGTCTGATTCTGATTCCGATTTATCTAATATGCAAACATATTGAGTATTATAGCGAACAAATAATTATATAGTCACATTTAATGTTTAATAAGATATCAGTATATCAGAGATTGTTTTAAAATCAATATTTTTATTTTTAGAGTTTTTCTTTTGCATGAAACGTACATATATCAGTACGGACGGCTAGAAATTCTTAAGGAAAGTGTTTATAGGGTATCCCAATTATTAGGCGAGAAGCGAACACATAGTGTTATTTCTTGTGAAATTTGGTGTTGATTTTTATCAGTATAAATTTTGAAACAATTTTTTAATTATTAAGCAAGTAAATGTAAAAAGTTTTTCACGATTTCTGAGCTGCAGAGATAAAATGAATTATAAAATTTGTTTATTATATTTATTTCGTTATTTGTATAATTTGACGTACTTAGTTTTATAAAATTTCAGTTTGAGGCTTATAATTATTATAATATAAAGATTAAAATAAGAAAAGTTATAAAAAATAATAACTTTTTAGTTGTTAATAAAAACTTTTAGTTAATAAAAACAAATTTCCCCCAAATTTCATGAGAAATGACATAAAAATGTCTACTTTTCTCAAATTTGAAAGGCATTCTATAATTGTATGATAAGTTTTCAATACAGCATTTTGATCATATATTTTGGTAAATTTTTACCAAAATGTGCAAACATTATATAGTGCAATGTATAGATAAAAACCAACAAAACTATTGTTAGGGAGAGTAAGAATAAAAGGGAACAGTGAAGGTAAAAGTGACAGAAAGTTGTTTGAAGCGGCAGGGAACTTAGAGCCGGTCTCCTATACTAGTTCCTGTTACGATTGCTGTTTATTACTTGAAATGCACTCCATGTCTCACGATACAATGTACATTATCTTACTTTTTTTGCTCCTGATTGATTTTTGTATGTCAATCGATTTCTCCATTTTAGTGATTACTTTATATAAAATAAGAGAAGAAAACTCGCGAGAAAACCCGAGTTACGTTGTTGTTTATCAGAGATTTTTTTGTATAGTGTCTATTAATTTGGATGTATATAACTTTTCTCTCTTCTATTTTTGCTCCCTGATCTTCAGCGTAAGATATTCATTTTAGTCCCTTTTTTTCTGTCCATTTTTGTCTCTTTCCCCCCTATCTCTTTCTCTCTTTCTCCTTACTTTTACTCGAGTTTCTTCGCTGACCCTCTCCTTCACGCACTCACAAGTGATCGACCGGTTTTGAACAGTACTGTCGTCTTTCATGAACGCATCGTGTAGAAAGAAAGTGGTGCTCTCCATGCTACGAGTGAGTACCCAGGATTCATAATGCATTGCTATCCATAATTGTACATAATAGCGTGTAAGCGAAGTATTAAAAAAAAAAAAGAAAAAAAGCAACGTTAAGTACTCGATGTTCTCTTCGGTCGTGTCTAATGTACTTACAGAAGAGAGGATATGTTAAGGAGACAGGAAAGCGCGTTCATAGCGAAGGTTATAGCTGTGATGTAATTATCGAAGGTAAAAGTAAGAGAGAAACGCTGAAGCTATATGTAGTTGAACGGGAGAAGCTTTAATGTAAAACTCGTACATTCGAGAACAAAAAAAAAAAGAAATAGGAGAAAGAGAAGGAAAGTGAAGCTTTGTACATCCTCGAACAAATATCGAAATCATCGTTTATCTAGCGCGTAAGAATATAATTAGGGAAATAATGACGTTTGTTTCTTTGTAAGAATGCGTAGAAGGCGTAGAAACACTGCTAGGTATACCCAAAATATATATATAAGAGAAGGGTGATTTTAGAGTTTTATACTTCCATCGCACTATGACTTGGGCGTACTATCATCGCGCAGTACTTTACTAATCCTGTGAAAAACGTTAACACAATGTATAATTATGATGTGAATTACATGTTTAAGCACATATTATCAATACAATGTGTTTTATTTAACCAGTAAAAATCTGAAACGAACGATATTTACGTTGTAAATAAACATCTTCGATTTGTTATCATAGAATCTCGGTCTTTCTACAGTAAAAATTTTTTTTGCGTAATAGATATTATTTCACGCATAATAATAGATTTTCACATTTAATTTTTTGTAGTATAATTTGCAATTTAGTTGAACTGTCTTAATTGACTTAATTAATGTCTTCAATAAACTGAAAGATCAATAATCATGTCAAACAGCTTTGATTATGTTTAACGAAGAAAAATGCGAGAATCATGATTCTTATTAAAATTATAATCAATATTTATAAGATTTTCTCCATCAAATTTTATTTTTTTGATGATTAATAAAGATGTGAGAAACGCTAGCTTGCAATCTGGATTTAATAAATTTCTGAAAATGTTTAATTTTATCTCTCGTGATTGAAGCAAAATACAAGTATTCTGCATGATAATATTTTTTTACATTTTTAGATAAACATAAGAATAATAAATGCAGGTTTTCTTTACTATATATTATAGAGAGAAATTTTGGAACCACTCTTTTTTTTTATTATTTTATTGTTTTATATACAAAATCTCACTATAAATATAATACCTATTTGATATTTTTGATAATTATAGAGTGAAATTCAACACGTTATATTTTCTTTATTTTCAAACTATTTTAAATTTGTTTCTCTTTTCTTAATTAAGATAATATGTCGTAAAATTTTCAGTTATTGAAATTGATAATAGTTTGAAATAAACTGCCCGATTGATCGAAGTATATAAATGAAAAATGGTTTGTTAAGTTCGGGATATTTTGTATCTCGAGAAAATAAAAGTGCCAGTTAACTTTGTTACAGATTTAAATCGATCGGCTGTTTGGTATATATACGTTTCTCTTATCGTATCGCTCTGACAATGCAACATACGTCTGCGCGTGGATTGTCGCCAATGCGATACTTCGAAGGTCAATGCGTTTCTGCGACGGAGAAGAAGAAGGAAACGTTGGGCTGCGAATATAGACTGGTTCGCCAATACTCTGGTCAGCACCTTCGCGACTCACCTGCGCTGAAACCTGATGCCGACGATAAAAATGAAAACAGGTTACGCGGCAGCTCGCGCTCGAACGGCCACGCTACACCTTGAAGGAACAGACCAAGTCGCTTCGGAGAGGAAAAGACGAGCTTTTTCACCATCGTATGCGTGCTGGGCATCCCAAATCAAATGTACTTGCTTTTTATTTTTCAAACATTTTCAAGTCGATGGTTCCTTAACGGAAATTACGAGGCGCCAATAATTCTTGAGGTACAAGCGATCGTAAATGAACTTTTCATAAACTTTTCAGTTGCTAATGTGTAACAAAGTTTTATTCTTTAGACAAAATTTGAAGTAAATTTTACTTTAGTAAAACTTGATTCAAGATTTAGTTTTGAAAAAAATGATAAAAATAATGGCCTCGAGCGAAATTCTCGATAAGGAAAAACCGATTCAAAAATGATTGAAGAACCTGCTGTTAATTCATGGGACACTCTGTATACATATTAAATACGAAGTCGCAAACTTTGATTGCGCATTATACGATAGTTGCTTCTCTCATCGCGCATCACTTTCCCCGCTACAATAAACCGAAACTTGCCGCCGGTAATTGGGCATAAGCATTTGATTGTATGCGTAATTTTTCCAATGCTATTAACCTACAATCAATAACACATAATAGCACGATGATCACGGAAAATTGTGATTTAT